ATTGCTTGAACCCGGGAGGTGGAGGTTGCAGTGAACCGAGATCGCACCATTGCACTCCAGCCTGGGGGACAAGAGCAAGACTTCGTCTAAAAAAAAAAAAAAAAATTAGTTGGGTGTGGTGGTATATGCATATAATCCCAGCTACTCGGGAGGCTAAGGCAGAAGAATCGTTTGAACCAGGGAGTCAAAGGTTGCAGTCAGCCAAGATCATGCCACTGCACTATAGCCTGGTGACAAAGCGAGGCTCCATATTAAAAAAAAAAAGAAAGAAAAAAAAAAAGAAATAACTCTATTCCTCACCCAAAATCACTCACCTGTGATTCCAATAGCTCTGCTTGAACAGGTCGTAATCCTGGATCTCCACATCCTCACTCTCCCAAGAAGCCTGATCATAAGGTAAGTCCCGCCACTTGATCAAGTAGTGGACGTGGCCCTTCTTGTCCACGCTGCAAGTCAAGGAGAAAAAACCCTCAGAGCCAGAAAAAGCAACCCTCCTCACTTGCTCTCAAAAACCGGCAACACCGTATGTTCCACACCAGACCTCTAGGTATGCCACAGATCACACGTTTTCAGAGCCTCTACTATACCAGTCTTTGACCAAAAATTATCTCTAATTTATACTTTCCTAGTTACACTCAAACACCAGAATTCAGTCAGTTAATAATTAACATAGAGTGTTGGCCAGGTGCAGTGGCTCACACCTGTAATCCCAGCACTTTGGGAAGCCAAGGCAGGCAGATCACTTGAGGCCAGGAGATCAAGACCAGCCAGGCCAACATGGCGAAACCCCGTCTCTACCAAAAAAAATTAACCAGGCGTCAAGCCAGGCGCAGTGGCTCATGCCTGTAATCCCAGCACTTTGGAAGGCTGAGGCAGGTGGATCACAAGGTCAAGAGTTCAAGATCAGCCTGGCCAATACGGTAAAACCCCGTCTCTACTAAAAATACAAAAATTAGCAAGGCGTGGTGGTGCATGCCTGTAATCCCAGCTACTCAGGAGGCTGAGGCAGAAGAATTGCTTGAACCCAGGAGGTGGAGGTTGCATCAAGCTGAGATTGCAGCACTGCACTCCAACCTGGGTGACAGAAAGAGACTCCATCTCAAAAAAAAAAAAAATTAGCCAGGCACGGTGGCACACGCCTGTAATCAGAGCTACTCCGGAGACTAAGGCAGAGAATCACTTGAGCCTGAGAGGTGGAGGTTGCAGTGAGATTAGATCATGTCACTGCACTCCAGGCTGGGCCACAGAGCGAGACTCTGTCTCAAAAAATAAATAAATAGGCCACACGCGATGCCTCATGCCTGTAATCCCAGCACTTTGGGAGGATGAGGCGGGCGGATCACGAGGTCAGGAAATTGAGACCATCCTGGCTAACACAGTGAAACCCCGTCTCTACTAAAAATTAAAAAAAATAAAAAAAAATTAGCCAGGCGTGGTGGCGATCGCCTGTAGTCCCAGCTACTTGGGAGGCTGAGGCAGGAGAATGGCGTGAATGCGGGAGGCGGAGCTTGCAGTGAGCTGAGATCGCGCCACTGCACTCCAGCCTGGGCAACATGTCCGTCTCAAAAAAAACCACAATAATAAAATAAATAAATAAATAAATAAATAACATAAAGTGTCAGGTGCAGTAGCTCCCGCCTGTAATCCCAACGTTTTGGGAAACTGAGGCAGGTAGCTTGCTTGAGCCCAGGAGTTTGGGACTGCTGTGAGCAGTGATCACGACACTGCACTCAAACCTGGGCAACAGAGCTAGACTTTGTCTCAAAATAAAGCATGGTGGCTCATGCGTGTTAATCCCAGAACTTAGGGAGGCCAAGGCAGGCAGATCACCTGAGGTTAGGAGTTCAAGACCAGTCTGGCCAACATAGTGAAACCCTGTCTCTATTAAGAGTACAAAAATTAGCTGGGTATGGTGGCAGGTGCCTATGCCTAGTTACTAGGGAGGCTGAAGCAGGAGATTCACGTGAGCCCAGGAGACCAAGGTTGCAGCAAGCCAAGGTTGCACCACTACACTCCCGCCTGGGTAACAGAGCAAGACTCCATCTCAAAAAAACAAACAACCAAGTATGGTGGCTCACGCCTGTAATCCCAGCACTTTCACCTGAGGTCAAGAGATCCAGACCATCCTGGCCAACATGGTGAAACCCCGTTTCTACTAAAAATACAAAAAATTAGCTGGGCGTGGTGGCTCGCGCCTGTAGTCCCAGCTTCTCAGGAGGCTGAGGCAGGAGAATCACTTGTACCTGGGAGGCAGAGGTTGCATTGAGCCGAGATCACACCACTGCACTCCAGCCTGGACGACTGAGACTCTGTCTCAAAAAAAAAAACCAGTGTCTTCCAAATCTAAGTTGCCAGTGACATCCATTTTCCCAATCCCTTCAGCGGGAATCTCCCATGGAGACTGCCTATCTCCCATGTGCCCAGCTGGTACCTGTGGTTGAGGATTCGGTGGATCATCATCCACTCAGGTTTTATCCCATAGCGATAGAAGCGTTCCTCCATCTCTGCAAATTTAGGGTCCTTGTTTTTTCGTTTTCGGCTTTTTTCTTCATCACCACCAAAGTCCCCAGAAGGTGGCTCATCCATATCATTCTTCCGCTGATAGTTTCGGAACATCACCTGACAGTGCAGCTCCAGCTTGGAGCGGAAAGAGAAAATCAGCCACCAAAAAGCTGTGTTCA